CCCCCCCCCCTCCGCCCCGTCTCTTTGCTACCCGCTTATTGGTCATTCTTCAAAATCGGAATGAAAGCCGACAATGAAAAAAACCGCTGCTCAATCCCTGGAGGGGCACACGGTGAACTATGAGCTGAAATTCATACTTGATGCAGTTAAGAGACCTCGATGTAAGCTTAGTCCAAGTACTCTGGGTGTGAAATTCACATAGGTGATAAGAGCATAGTAACGCAAACACGATAAAATTAAGTAAACTGCCGACTAGTGCCGACTGCCTTGATTAATTCAAGACTTCTTTCCAGTTTCTCCCTTCTTAGCTGTTACGGTAAGCAGTACGCATGGCTTTACGCAAATTGTATCAAATATCTCGTCGAGCCAGTTCCCCTCACCACAGGTCTCCTCATCAAGATATCTGGTGACACCATCTTCCATATTTGGAGCTTCTTCAAATGAAAGCATTTCCACCTCACAAAGCAGTTCATCATCGAGTTTCATAATAGTTCAGCAAAAATCCTCAAGAGCCGCGAAAAATCATAGCACAGCGACGAGTCCTGTCGCAAATCATAGTACAATAATAAGTTCCACGAAGATAAAAAGCACAGCCATCAGTACAAAAACTAAGCAAAGCTCGATCATGACCTCATCTCAGGTGACCAATGAGAAAACTATAACCATTACTCCTTCCAAGTCTCAACCAACGAGCAGCTCTGTGAGCGCAACAGTGATTACACCTACAACAAGTACCCCAACCAAAGGTTAGTTTTTAGATTAAGCAGGTTTTGCGCAAAGGCGTGGCCGAGAGGTTCAGGCTGATCGGTGATGGATTTGAAATCTGTACGTGACAATCAGTATCAACAACTGGGCATAGACTCCTCGGTGTAAAGTACTTTACGACTAAAATCAACATCTGGGCACAGACTCCTAGATGTAAGATATTTTACTATAAATATCAACATCTGGGTACAGACTCCTCGGTGAAAGATATTTTACGATAAATATCAACATCTGGGCACAGACTACTCGGTGTAAGATATTTTACGATAAATATCAACATCTGGGCACAGAATCCTCGATGTAAGACATTTTACGATAAATATCAACATCTGAGCACAAACTCCTCGATGTAAGATATTTTACGATAAATATCAACATCTGAGCACAAACTCCTCGATGTAAGATATTTTACGATAAATATCAACATCTGGGCACAAACTCCTCGATGTAAGATGTTTTATGATAAATATCAACATCTGGGTACAGACTCCTCGATGTAAGATATTTTACGATAAATATCAACATCTGGGTACAGACTCCTCGGTGTAAGATATTTTGCGATAAATATCAACATCTGGGCACAAACTCCTCGATGTAAGATGTTTTACGATAAATATCAACATCTGGGTACAGACTCCTCGGTATAAGATATTTTACGATAAATATCAACATCTGGGCACAGACTCCTCGATGTAAGATATTTTACGATAAATATCCACATCCGGGCACAGACTCCTAGTTGTGAGGTATTTTATTATTAATATCAACATTTAGGCATAGACCCTTAGATGTTGGGTACTGTACGACTAATACCACAGCTGGGCGCAGACTCTGATATAAGCTATTTTACGATCAATATCAACATTTGGGCCCTTTCCCCCTCTTTGTCAGTCAGTTCATTGGATTTGATAAGTGAAAATTTATGCGCTCATGAGGAGATAAAAAAAATAATCATACCTCCTCGATAGAGGACGAAGCAGTCGGCGAAATGTGAAAAAATCGTGAACTGTAGTTACATGCTTTGCCAGCCGGGTTATCTGAATGGATTGGTATGCTAAAGTGATGAACGGTGAAGCCCTTCGAAGCCTTTCTACTGAAGATAAGTTTATCTTTTCGTAGTCTTGAAGCTTCCCTGCTCATCGCTTAGCGCACAAAAAAATGCTAGTTACACAGGCTTATGCTGTACACAGACCTCAAAATTGTCTCTTTTCAATTTGTTTTCGTGTCGCACCTACTCAGCTGTTTTTATTCTTGTTTTTTCTCAGGATTTGCACTGTCTGTTCAAACACAATACATCTTGACGGCATGTCTTGTTGTGTTCTTCTTCGTATTAATTGCCACAGTCGCTCTGGTTATTCAAATTGCTTTACTTCACAAGTCCTTGAAAAAATTAAAGGCTAAAAGTCACCGTTAGAAGCCAGGATCCTTACAACGAAGGCAAATATTTCCTCTCAGTTTTTTCTATCAAATACGAATAGGTTGTTAAAAACAGTTTTATGTAATGACGTATAGGGTGAGCCGCTCGCTTAGGAACTGTAATTATTGATAGGAGGGTAGGTTTGAAAAGGGTTACCAACTTAAACGCAGGGAAAAAGAAGGAGCACAGAAATAATACAAGAATATTCCTTAAGGAAGCTTTCAGTAAACCTGAAGTATGTGAGGTGAAGGGGAATCAGCCAAAATTTACCTCTCACCTCTGATTCCCCCTGTTTTCTCGTTTTCTCCCCCCGTTTAGAGATCAATGCCCTGTTGTTTATTCCGCAAGGGTTGGAAGCCCTGATATTTTCTCTTTATATTCTTCGAGTCTCAGTTAAAGAAATGATTTTGTAAAAGCTGTTATTACAATCATTCTTTTGATTTAAGGAACATAAATGTTCTACTCTAACTGAATTAGTAAAAATTTTTATGACTCCTGAACGCCTTAATTAAAAACCCTTTGCCTTCTCAGATTGGGTGGGCTCCTCCCTTGTAGCTTCCATGACAGCTCAAAGTAGATTTTTGTAATGAAAACAATTAAGTGCTTTATTAGCATTAAACCCTCTATTCTCATTATCTGCTTGTTGGATGATGTATTGAGTTAATAACAGCTTACAATTTAACAGGGTTGAAAATGTTTTCTCTCCTTTTACATGTGGACACGTTGCATTCAGAGACATTAGCAAAGAGATTTTTGTACCCTCTTTTGGCTGTATCTGTCTATACGTTTCTATTCTTATTAAGTTTTGTCTACCAGACGCGGGCATTTTCTTCCTTCACTGACGCTGGTTCTTAGTCTTATAAAATCTAGACTACGTGCAGTCCCTCTGCGCGCCTCACTTCCTCGTTCTACGCGGCGCGCTTACATTAATTTTTTTCACTGATTTTTATTTTATTTTTTGACTGGTGTGTGTGACTTCGTCAAAAAGGAGGGACTGCACGTAGTCTATATAAAAATTGCAGTCACGAGCTTTAGACTCATATTTTATTTAAGTATTATATTCAACTTGGTTTATTTTTAGCTAGTTGACTGATTACTACAGGGCTTTGTAATATCTGGAAAGGCAAAATAAAATGTAGTAATTATTAAAGATTCCTTTTTTGTCGCGTAATATCTTGAGTAAAAAAAGCTAACTCCTTTGACGAAAGGCTAACCCTCGAAACGAAGCTTTAGACACTCTCTGCATACCGTGGCCAATGAACATCATCAACTCAAACGAAATTATCTTACAACCCCTTCCCCCCCTCCCACCACTTCACCACCTACTAAACACAGCAGCAGAGTTTCTTTAGAAATTTTCCCTCATTACTCCTCTGAGTTTGGAACTTTGTGGTTTATTGCACTACCACGTTTATTTGGTTATGCCTGTCTCTTAAAGCTTTTTTAACTTTTCAGAATAACACGCTTTAAAAATGTATTACTTTTATCATTTTCTACCATCATTTATATTATATCTCTCATTTTCTTTCTAATAATCTCTCTAGAGTTGTGGTATTTTCAGGGATGAGAGGTTACGGAAAACCTAGGAGAATCTAAAAAAGAGTGAAGAGATCTTGATTAGACATTTTCCTCACGCGTCTAATCCATGCAGCGTCCATCAGCAGCAGCAGTCCTTGTTCTGCTCATGGCTGAACGTTTCTGGAGCTTGCGTAGTCAAAGTTTCGTGGTTCTAGATGGCTGACATTCTTATAGCAAGCCAAGTTTTTCGATTTTCTATTTAAATGGCGTGACATTAGTTAATATTTTCAAAGTTCTTGTTTGTCGAGTCTCGAATAGTAAAGTCACACATGAAGATTCATTGACGGATATTTTTGGAGTCATAGTACAAACTAATACGTTCCCTTTCAGTTCCGTCCTTTCGTAACTTAACTGCGGTACGCAGGCGTGGCCAGTAAAAAAGTGTCATCTGCTGTGCAATAATTTTCATGCTGCGTGATAGCCTTCCCAGGTGTTCAATTAGTAAAACGAAGTGCGCCAGTAAACGGCACGATAAGAGCGGAGGAGTGAAAGAACGAAGGGGGGCTTGGTTCGGGTGACTGCGGCTTCCAATGCTCCCGTCATCCACAATCTAGGAATGCCTTCTCCTCTAGGATATATTCATTCTCCAAGATAACACCCAACTCAGTCATTTGCTTGAATATTCTTTTGACGAAATGCACTGCAATGGGTAACGCTGCAGATTTTCTGCGCATGCCCAGCGAAGAGACCGCGCTAAAATAGGCATCTTCCTTTTTACAAAATTTTGTGCCTCACGAAACTAGTTAGTGATAAACCATGAAGCAAAAGTAACGCACCCACAAGAAACATAGCAACAGATCGCTTCTAAATAAAAGACGTTACATTTTATTGCAACAATCCTTCACTAGCTTCTTTGAAGTTCTATGAAAGCTATTTTCATTGATAACCCTTTTTTGGGGTTACTAGTGATACTATCAGTATTTGGAGTTATGTACTAAGAACAGGTTCCAGTTTTGGCCATTGTTTCAATCTTTTCTGCCAACTCGAGGCAGTAAAGCACTCGTTTCTTGTCTTGAGCAATTTCATCAGAGCTGCGCTCCCCCCGTACCTCAGAGAGAAATATCTCTAGATCCCTTGCAAACAGTCCCTTGTGGCCAGGGGGAGGTGGACCAGGGGGTTTGGAAACAGGCGCTGGTGTCACAGTAGTACCATCTTCAAATTTATACTCCTGGGATGCTTGCCTTGGTTTCCCACCACGTACTCGTTCAATTATCCAAGTTAATGGCCTACAAAATGATTTATAATCAAAAAATAATTCAGTTGGGCAAAATGCAGCCCCAGTAACCATAACCTTCAACATAACTTTTGGAGACACCCTGCTTTTTTTCAATAAAAAATAACAATTACAAAACTTCCCCCTTCTCATTACGACAAAATTTGCCTTTTGGTATGTATGAAGGGGGAGCAATTGAAGGCAAACATGGAATATAGTCATATATTCTTCCACAGAATTGCTTTCAAAACATTTTTGCCAAGAGTATGTTCATCAATCAGCCCACATAATATAAATATGTCCACTGCAATTTGTAATAGATAAAAATTGTTACTCTTTCACGACAAAACACCCCACTACATTTTTTTCATTTTTGCACTCTCTTCTTAAGGGGTCTGGAGTCATGCTCCCCTGAAAAAAAATGAAATTTGAAACTCTCTAAAGACAATTTCTAGCACTCTGGGACAGATTTGAATTGTGTAACTTTCTTTAGCCGGACAATTGTATCACAATCAATAAAAGAGGCTAATTTTCTGAAATGTCTAACTTACCTGTTGTCTAAGGTGTGTAATTTACAAGTAAGGCGATGAAGATCAGTTTCATGTTCAAAGTGAGCTTCTTGTAATGATAGCTCACCAAACAAATCATACAAAATCTCCAATTGTGAAATTCCAGAGAAACTTGGAAACCCAGCTCGCCTTATGTCAGCGATCCACTCCTTGAGAAATCTGGCATCTAGACGAATGGTACCCTCAATAAAAGGAACATTTTTGTTTTGAATAGCGTGCTTCATATCCTTGTGGGAATCAAGAAGAAGAGCTATGTCTTCAACATGACAGGTCAACCCTGAAAACCGAAGAAAAAAACTTCAAAACCATTCCACAATATGGCTCACTGAATGGAAACTCTACTTTGTTTCTAGGAGGGAATTTTACAATCTTAGCCAACACAACCACAAACCAAAAACAAGGGGGGTGAAAATGGAAATTAAAAGCAACTGGCAGGAAAAACGGCCCTTATAGTAACTTATTTAAGAACATAAAAATAACAGTTCAAAAAATGCTGTGAAAATGAACAGGTTGCAGTCCCCTATTACCAGGCCCTTCTAAATCAGCTTATACAAACAGACCATTAGTTCCAGTAGCCATTTTATATAGTCTTGACATAATATTTTTCCCCACAAGATCTCCCATACTATACAACGTCACAAAAAGGAAGCAGAAAATCAAATTATTTCTAATTCTCAAATTATTTCCACGCATAAAATATATCATGAAGAAACATCTGTATATTAAGTAAGCCTGATGTAAATTATTTCACATTCTTATCACACCCAAGGACACACATTAAACCTATAACTATATTCAGGTATTTCACAGTTATATACAGAAAATTTTATGTACATACCTTTACTTTCTGCTAAATTAAAGATCTTTTTACCACCCTCCGCTGTCAAACATAGAGGAAAATCCACTAAAACATGCTTTCCATGTTCTAGGATTTTTCTGTAAAATGAAAATTGTGCTATAAGAGAATTGGCCAAAAGGAAATAATAAGGACACAGAAGATAGAGCCTTCCACAATACCTATAACATATGCTAATTAACCACTACATTATTACATCTCCCAAGTTTTGATGAATTAGGAAGAAGAAAAAGTCATTTATAAGATCATGATCACCTGGCATACTCTTCATGGGTGTCATTTTCTGTACAAATGACAAAAGCATCCACATCATCTCTTGTCAAGGCTTCGTCCCAGTCTAGAACAGGTAGATCATCTTCTACTTGCCTCCTATTAAAATTATTAAATAAATGAAATCACCTAAAAAGTATAATCAACTACACAAAATAAACCATCCACAGAACTAAATAGAATTAATTTAACCTATTTCATTCAAAAATAACTTTAAGCATACCTTCATTCATGCAAAGGTAACTGTGGGTGACTAAAAAATATCACAGACTTACTTGAATACTTCTGATCAAATTTGTGCTGTAGGCAGGGTCAAAAGACTCACGGGTTTTAAAATCCTTTTTAAAACAGTAAACTAAATTACATTCTTCTCAGCTCTCTTTCAATGGAAACTAACTCGAGATCAAAGAATTAAACTACCAAACCCTACTACACAGCAAGCTGTTTAAATCATCATAACATGCGATGGAATATCCGTCCTCCATCCTTCACACCCCTCCTCCCCATTCCCGCCTGTCATGAACTCTAGATGGGCTTTTAAAGAGCTATATAATTCTGGGGTTGCTTCCGCCATCTACTTTGAGGGAAAGAAGCAAACGATTATGAAATGGCGTGCGTAAGTGTATTACCCAATAAGTTAACAAACACTGAATCCGATCAATCTCACCTGGATATCACTCCACGAAGAACAACACTGTCTCCTAAAACGTTCTGCTTCAAATCTCTTACTCTGACTTTTCCAGCGATTCCCAATCCAACAACCACGATACCTAAAGGCTTTTCCGTCATATCTATTCAATCTCCACCTTCCTCCTCTTGAAAGCCACACGAAAAATTAGCGTCGTCACATTTTCCGCTTTATAAAGACATCTTACATAACAATATCAGCTGTGAACCTTGTTATTTTGAGGCCAATTTTTTTAATATACAGCTGTGCACACAAGATCAAGATGAAAAAAAAAGAAAATAAACTATATTTCAGGAAAATGACAAAGCTGTTGTACTAAAAAAGTCGTCTTTGTGCCAACCTATGAATTTTAGCTGGAAATTTGTGCTCTAGTTGCGTGACTTCGTGACAGGGGCGAACTTGTTCCAACTCTCCTCGGTAAGAGATCGTCCCCAGAATGCTCCGGCCTCGGAGAGCTACATGAACACCGCACCCTGTTGGAAGAAGTGAAGGAAGTTGGATTGTTTGACGGAAATTTAAGATCGCGTGATTTCTTCAGCCTGGCAAGAAGTGATTGTACTTTCGCCTCAGCAATGAGTAGTCGCCATGGAAGTCGTGAAGGAGTATTTACTCGCAAAATACTTCAGTCCTTTTGGATATATTGTGGCAGTTTTCCATCTTTTAGCATTGACAGCACTTACCACAGCCGCTGGAGTCTTAAGAACGAGCGAGCGTCGAAGATTCAGCTGTCCTTCTTCTCCTGATTCTAAAGACGACTGTCTAAGGCAATATGACAAACTGGTCTACTCTGGTTTGCCATTCTATGGATTTGTTCTGTTTTGTTTTGCGTCCGTTTTGACAGTGTGTATCGCCTACTCCTGGTGTTTTGTGAAATCGCGAGTCGATGAGATTGAAATCGCCTTGAAACCAAATCCAGAAAGCCCTCGCCGTCGGCCTAGAGTGAAAACCCGCCGAGTGTTCTGGTCTTATTTTGTTCATCTTATTTTGCGATTTTTTGGGGGGATTGTGTTCATTATTTTGCAGAACTCTGTGTTTTATTTAAGTGGATTTCCAGCAGAATTTGTCTGTTTTACTCAAACAGTGAAGGGGGCAGCAAATTCCACAAATGTTAGTACGACCAAAGAAAATTCCTTAGCCATCAACTGTGATAACTCCATTGCATCTGACAATGCTGTCTACGCGAGAGGAATTTGGATAGTGAACATTCTATTTACGTTGCTTGTGTTTGGAGAGATATGCTATCTTTCGTTGCGAGCAATACAGAGAAAACAGTTCATCTTCGATTCCGAATTCTGTGAGAGGCACTTTTTTAGCAAGGGTAGGAACCCTATTGCGCTGAGCGAGTTGACATTCCGGACGAGACAACGAATACGCGAAGAAACAGAGATCCTTGAACCTTTAATTGCTCAGCCAGAAATAGAGAGAGTCAGACTTTTGGATGACGCTTTTGTCGATCTTGTTATTTACAGTGGAAGAGCATGTAGCGAATTCGCTGACTTGTTGAAAAGACACGAAATATATGATATATATTTAAAGCCCCAGTATGGATCAATAGCCATAAAGAAAGTTGATGAGCTTTTTCTTCCAAATGAAGATACTCGAGATCCCCGCAAAATTCTCGTGGTTGGTCGCCCCGGCATCGGAAAGTCTCTGCTTTGCACGAAACTGTCGCGTGACTGGAGCAAGAGTGATCTTTTGCGTGACAGTGACAAAATCTTTCAACATCTGTTTGTGTTCCAATTCAGATGGTTCAATACCGAGACAATAGAGAAGATATCTCTCAAACAGTTGTTGAGTCGTTTGTATTCAGAAGGTAGCATGGACAGTGAAGTCTTACAGCATATTTTAGACAACCCTGAGCGAGTGCTATTTGTTTTTGATGGCTTGGATGAATTTAAATACCACGAACGCATTCTGGAGGATGAAAGGGCACATGCTGGAAACAGTGCAACAGAAGAAATGCCATTTTCAGCTCTTTACGTGAAGCTGATGAAAGGAAAGCAGCTTTCTGGGGCCACGATTTTGACCACGTGTAGACCAAATGTTGTGCAGAGTGTTGCACATTTGCCATTTGACAGGAAGGTTGAGATTATGGGATTTACTCCAGAGAAAGTCCACAAATATGTACTTAAATTTTGTGCACATGATCCAGAGACAGTGAACAGAATATGGGGTCATATCAGCAGCAATTTAGAACTGCTCTCTTTGTGCTACATTCCTGTCAACAGTTTTATTATCTGTTCCCTTTTAGAAAAGTTGATCAAACTTCAACAACATTTAGGAAATACTCTACCAGCAACTTCAACTGACATTTATGAAGGAGCTCTGAGGCTGTTCATTTTCAAGCATCACCCAGAATTTAAGAGGAAGTTTTTAACAAAGGATTATCTTCTTGGAAATGTGGGCCTCCCTGATCAAGTTGAAGAAACTTTGAACCGGGTTGGATCATTGGCAAAAACAGGAATTCAGGAGAGACGACTGATGTTTGACTCAGTGGAGGTGAAGGGAATAGAAGACTGTGGGTTGTTCAATCGTATGCCAGATTGTGAAGTTTTACCTTTCAAATTGAAGTCCCAATTCTGCTTCATTCATTTGACTCTTCAGGAATTTCTTGCTGCCAAAGAAATAGTGAAGATGGATTCCAAGGACATTAGTAATTTCATCCTCACAAATGCTTCAGATCCAAAGTGGCACTTGGTACTTCAGTTTGTGGCTGGCCTTCTGCGTGGACAAACAAATGAGGCAGTCAGCAATTTTGTAAACCTCCTTTGTGACTCTTTAACATACATAACTCTTTGTGACTCTTTAACATTTAGTAGTAAATCCAAACAAGAAGCTGTTCTTATGATGAAATGTTTGCATGAGTACAATGATGCTACAATTGTGGAAAAGGCAGCATCACTTCTACAGAAAAATGAAACTTTCAACAATAAGATAGATTTATCTTATTCTGAAATAACACCTGTTGACTGTGCAGCAATTGTTTTCTTTATTAACAAACTACACAACCTTATGGAGTTGAACCTGTCCTCTAACAATATATCAGACCAAGGTGTTTCATTCCTGTGCAGTGTAGTTAGAGATGGACACTGTAATCTCACCACACTACACCTTGGTTTCAATGACATACAGGACCAAGGTGTTTCACAACTCAGTGAAGCTTTAAGGGATGCTAACTGTAAACTAACTAAGCTGAGGCTTCCTGGTAACTACATAACATACCAAGGTGCATCACATCTGCAGGATGCACTTAAAAATGCAAATTGTAAACTCACCAAGTTGGACCTTGGTGGCAATAGTATGGGGGATATAGGTGTTTCACGGCTGAGTGAAGCACTCAAAGATGTAAATTGCAAACTTGAAAAGTTAAACCTAGATGAAACTGATATTACAGACCAGGGTGTTTTCCATTTGTGTGAAGCAATTAAAAATGTAAATTGTAAACTGACCAAGTTAGACATTAGTGGAAACATGATATCTTTCCATGGTGCATTAAGCATGTCTGTTGCACTTAAAGATGTGAACTGTAAACTTACAAAAATGAATCTTGAAGTAAATGACATCGGTAACTTGGGTGTATTTCACTTAAGTGATGCACTTAAAGATGAAAACTGTAAATTTACACGGTTAGATCTTACTGGTGTTAAGATGGGAGATGAAGGTTTAGCACATCTGTGTGATGCTCTGATAAATGAAAATTGTTTAGTTACTGATTTGAACCTAAGTCACAATGCAATAACAGGGCAAGGTGTTTCCTACCTGCAAACTGCGCTCAGAAATAAGAATTGTAAGCTTTTGCAGTTGAACCTAGCTATGAATACACTAAGGAACACTTCATATTTAATTAGGAAACTTACTGAATCACTGATCAAGGGGGATTCATTGAATTTTTATGGTGAACAAAGTGTTCTGTTCCCAATGTCTAGCGCACTCAGAGATGAAAATTGTAAACTAGTGAAGCTTGATCTGATATCAACTGGTGTGGAAGATGGTGACTTATTCTACTTGTGTGGTGCACTGAAAGACATGAATTGTAAACTCACTGTGTTGTACCTTGGTGGCCATCTCATAACAGATGAAGGTTTGCAACACCTGTGCAGTGCACTTGAAGATGTAAATTGTAAACTCACTGAGTTGTTACTCATGAGTCGCAATATAACAGATCAAGGTGTTCCCCTTTTTTTTACTGCAATTAAACATAAAAATTGTAAACTCACCAAGTTGAAAATTGAGTTTCCAGAGGTAACAGATGAAGGTTTTTTACACCTTTTGGTTGCTCTTAAAGATGTAAATTGTAAACTCATCAAGTTGAAAATTCAGTTTCCAGAGGTAACAGATGAAGGTTTTTTACACCTTTTGGTTGCTCTTAAAGATGTAAATTTTAAACTCACTAAGTTGTCACTAGAGGGAAATGAGTTAATGGATCAGTTCATACCACATCTGTGCTCTGCACTTGAAGACCCAAACTGTAAACTCATTAACTTAGACCTTACACAAAACAAATTTACAAAGCAAGGTAAAAACATGCTACATCAAGCACTAAAAAGTGCGAATAGAACAAGTCATATCAAAGTCGAAGTATAGCACGTAAAAGAGAAAGCAATTTGAAATTACCATGATTGAGGTGCAGCTCTGTGTCAAGAGCTTAGCAAACCAGTCAGTGCAACACTAAGACCAGATTTCATAAGCATATAATGAGGTTTCATGGTGTTATATTGGTAGTTCTTATCTTAATATACTGTACAGGTGTTCATGTACACTTGTCATGAGATTGTATGACACAGAATGTAATTATGTAATTATTCTGTTTGTCATAACTTTTAAAATTATAGTCAACAAAGATTGGTTTACTGATTATAATAAAGTGACATGTAGAACATGTATTTCTTAGTGATGTCTGTGCTGTTGGTGTTGTGTAAAGTCAATCAGGTATCAGCAGTGGCTGCTACCATAGGGGAAGCTTATGTGTCCTTCAATTAACAATTGGTTCATACGTCAGCATGCGTTCATCAAGATATGAAGCACATGGGAAGTTTAGAGAGCACAAAAGATGCGTAAGAGTTGCTCAAGGCATAGTCAAGAGCAACTCTAGCTTCTTGAGTGCTCTCCAAACTTCCCAAGAGCTTCATATCTCGACAAACGCACAGCTGACACATGAAGCAATTGTTTCATAACATTTTCAACCAGATGGAAAATTTTTTTTCTCAAGGGATTTGTTTACTGATGTCATGCATGTGCACAATAGGAATATGAAGCATGCTTGCGCAATTGAATTTGACTAGACAAATTTATTAGCTATGTTATAATACAATTTAGGTTTTGTTGCAGTGATTCCCTGTGTTGTTTACATCAACTGTCATACTAGCTAATGGTTTACAGAACATTTTGTGTTGTGATTTCCTACTTTACGCCTTCCCACTGCAACTGAGCTCCATTTGGATCACTTACTTCAACTTATAGAGAGTCTGTCAGAAATGAACCCTAGCCAGGGCAATGTGTGCAACTCCTTGTACCCCTCCCATAAATCTACCCCTGCCTTCATGCTTAGATGTAGTTGATAATGTCAATCTAACAGACAAAAAAGGTGAAAATAATCACTAGCATCAAAGGTAAATCAAATTTTATCCCAACCACTTTCTCTAAAAAAATTTCGAGGGTGGAAATATCATCAAAACTACAGCTGTGCCCTTAAATGGGTATAAACTTTGAAATTCAATCCCCTCACCACTTTCCTTTCTGATGGATCTTCATTCCTTGGCATTGACATCACTTGTACCTACCCTCACTTGGCTGAAGTAGCTCAAATCAGTAAAAAAAATCATTAAAAAAAAAAATGTAGATGGGTTAGAACAAGGGTGAAACTCAATGAGGAAAGAGGTGTCAATGATTTAGTTAAAACCCCAAAGTGCCACACATTATCTAACTTGCAGAAACAATTTTAACCTTTATTATATATGAGACAAATCTGAGAATAAGTGGAATTTCAGAAAGGAAGTGGTACAATAATTCATGCCACACAACAGTTCAGTGATTTGGCCCACCCTGTAATAGCTACTGCCCTCCAAGGGATGCTAGTCCAAGGTCTATCTATGACTTCACTGGTAATCAAACTTTTACATGGAAAGAGCCATGTGAGAGAAATTGTATTCAATAATAATACTACAGAGTGGCTCAGCCAGGGCTCAAACCCACAACTTTTGTAAAATTATTGGGAGATGATGTCTCTCACAGAGACACCCATGTACACTAGTGATTAAAATAAAAAATCCAACAACAAACCCAACTCATTATTCTGATTCTAAAATTTACTTCAGGAAACCCATTTATACAGGTGCACAAGCTTTAATTTTTTACACCTACATTTAGCCCTTACTAGACTCAAAGCTACCCACAGTAATCTCACATCATCCGTCCTGTAGAACATTTTTCAGTTTAAACTACAGAACTTCATAAGCAGTAGGTTATAACATTGAGCACTAAGGAAGCAAAGGTTCTGCCAACAAACAATGCTCTACGACACAATATCTTCCTTGGAGCCAGTAATCAAATGTCAAAGAGAATCATCATAAAGTGTCGTGAAAAATTGAAATAATAATTTGCTGGGATAGAGAAATACCAACAAAGTAAGAATAAACTAAGGAGCAAAAATGGTCAAAAATGACAAAAATTAACATATTTACAAATGCCCAAATTGAAAAATCAATCTAGGCTACAATGTTCAGGAAGAACAAATCATGACAGAGAACTGCAACTCCTTTGTAGTATAGAGTCTTCCTGAACTCTGAGTCTTTCTTTTAGAATCTTCTTCTCTCTATGATCTCTTTCACCATTTCTATTTGCTGATTACTTAATTTTAGCCCATCCACTTCAGCTTCAAAGCTCTTTATGGAACCATAACCTCCAACATAACCATTTAAACGAGCTGCAACCCGAGACTTCTTCAGCTCTTCATCATTTAAGCCCAGACTGTTCAGCAGCAAGGGGTGCTGTCGCAGCATGTACTTTTGATGGTATCTGAATTGGAATATCAAAGATTTCATTTCAAGTTAAAAATATCAGCCACTCTTTGTGTTCTTTGGAACAAATCTTAAAAATAGCTGACTGCCTTCATATCAGCTTATTGCAAATGACAGACCCCTAATAATTCAAACTGTCAATGGAAATAAATAACTTGAATATTGTGGTCAATGACAATGACTTAAGATGTCCACTGGCAAGTAACATTTATCATGGTGATAGTTATCAACCAAAGTCTGTGGGAAGTGGAAAGTTTAAAATATTTGGGATCTAGATAATTTGAAATCTTACAAAAATCATTAGGAAATAAATAAGGTCTTCTAACATGAATCAAGAGCCACCAATAGTGCAGAAGCTTCTCCAAAGAAAGGTAACAGACAGTTCTGATACTTCCCTGGATAGGACACTAGTCCAACATAATACAAATTATCCCCACCCCCAAATATTTTACCAGCTTTATTACAGTTTATCAAAACTCATTTAAAGTGGAAAAAATTTGCCCAAAATATTATTTGTGTTGGTTTGTTTTCCCTATCTCCTTATTGGTGCAAGTACTGCATGTAAGTCTGAGATAAAAGCCTGCCACATCACAGCTTAATTGTTTATTTCAAAGAGAGTGGTATGATAAGCAGTTTAGTAACTTAAACAGAATTTAAACAGTGTCCAAAACAACATTTTCAAAAAAGTTCAATTTCTGGGGACCATTTCTGATTTTTGGTGGCAAAACAGCAACTTGAAAAACCAGTGCTTGGAGTACTGTGGTATGATCAGCAGTTTAGTAACTTAAACAGAATTTAAACAGTGTCCAAAACAACATTTTCAAAAAAGTTCAATTTCTGGGGACCATTTCTGATTTTTGGTGGCAAAACAGCAACTTGAAAAACCAGTGCTTGGAGCACTGTTAACTATTTGGTTTATACATGTATCTGTAAAGATCAAAGTGATGTGTTGTGGAAAAAAAAAATTGAAATTAAAACACCTACTGTTCAGCTACGTAGAACGTGTTTGCTGGAAGGATCTTTGTTACTATCTTTCTTTTGACTATCTTCTGATGTTCCTCACGAGTCTCCTCTGCAAGTTGTTTCTGATCCTCGTTGTGATAAAAAATAGCTGACATGTACTGAGCTTTATGGACTGCTGTAGGGTTGTGATTTTTCCAAAATATTTTCAACAGATCCTTGTAAGTTGTACAGTTTGGGTCATACTCCAACTCCAAGGTTTCTGTATGGTCCCCACTGACATAGAACGAGTCAAAGTAAATAAAGGAAATTATTACAAGGCAGGGTAGTCTAGCTCTTACTTGGTCTGGATTTTGCCACAGAAACCATTTCCACAGAAATGTTCAAAGGCCTTGTAAAGTTCATCTCGCATGCCAGCAATTAAAAAACAACAACAACAAAGTTAGTCCAAGTACTGTATAATATCTGCCACAACCTTGGGCCAATATTCCCCAGTTCAGCCCTTACACTTGGATAGTAACAAGTTATTAATCACGCAAGTTGACGAAAGTCTAAACTCAAAAATTTTTCAATGTTGAAACCCATCCTCTTGATGAACACTACACCAATATATTACAATCTCAATGCTGTTTATCTCTACATTTACCTCATTTTTTGCAAACTATGATTGGAGTCTACACAACAAAATTGGCTGGAATTTGTTATTTATAATTTTTTTATCCTCCCGACATTTTTTCCTGCTAGTAATAAATTTTCCTGTATCATTTTTTTCGTGACAATAATTCTAGATCACCAAATTAAATGGTGAACCAGAGAGAAGTCGAGCATGAAGCCCTGTAGTCTTTGACAGAGTGAATCAGCATGAAAACTCTAAGAAGCTTATCGACAGCGAATATTTTATGTCCACAAATTCTCATTAAACAGGTGCTGTGAACCGCTTAAGGTGTGGATGTGACTATGACTAAAGAAATATCATCTCTCATGACGACATAAACAATTTCAACTTGCGGTAACGTACTATTTACGTTCCATGACTCAGCAAGGTAAAAGCTTCCGATAGCAAATGGTTTTGAAAGAAATTGTGACACTGAGAAATAAAAGAACAGCTAATATTTTTGCCTTACGCAATTCTCTACAAATATGAGCCTACCCCTGAAGTTTAAACCATGTATACATCGTAAAACATCACATAACTTAGACGATCGAGTAATGTTGTTATGCAATGCAATAATCGAAATGCGTGATTTTCTCTTAACACTGTCCGATTTCGCTTAAAGTCATAAAATAAATTAAACAGGAGGATAATATTTTCGACAGGTTCAACTTTGGCTGGTAACTTAAATACTCACAGGCTTGTGTAGGTCGGAAATAACTTAGATCCTCCAGTGTATCCGACCTTAGTTCGGACGACACCATTAGCGCATCCAAACTGAGCCTCGGGGAACCAAAATCAGCTCATAGCAAAAGTTGCCGTCAGCGTTTCGCTATCTGCCATGTCTTCAGGAGGTGGCCTTACCGTCTCAATCGTATTGCCAAGTGTGTTCCCCGTCTTGACGAATGAAATCGACCGGAATGATCTAAGAGCTGCTGATAGCAGTGCTATTCTGCGTGACATGTCAGCTACACTTCGCACAATGTTCTTAGGAGCCTCGTCCCAGACTCTTTGCTGTTACGACGTCTAGTTAAAGAACAGGGGACCTGGAAAGTATTCAAAGCAATCATACGTAATGGTTCTCGTCAACTTCATTTTCACCACCTCAGTTTCTCTTTAGAGCACCTTCAACTTTCTTTCACGTCGTTTTCGAGCACAACATTTTCCGGCACGACTTTTTCTGGCGCGAATTTCACCGACCGACAGTGTGGCAGAATTTAGGTCGTGTGTTGATTACAATAGTTCTGAGTCGTCTATTGTGAGTCTGTAAACCTAAGAAAAAATAGTATTCGAATAATTGGGCACCCGATTGTGAAAATAATTATGAACAAAAGAGACATTGTTTAAAAGTTTTTGATGGAAAGCTACCGAAGTGATTAAAGATCCCATGAGATGTGATTGAATTTCGCACCGAGGACGATTTTTCCCACGAAGTTCTGTTCAAGTTGTGCTTATTTTTATTGGACTTGGACGTTTTACCCCAAATAGTCAACAATAAAACGGTTGAATAGATGCAAAGGTAATGTTTATTTGAAGTATAGTTCTGTTTCGCACAAACAATTGCTTAATTATATTAATTTGAAAAGGTTTATGAACAAGCTTTGATATGTATGTTCGCTAAGGCTTAGGGTTTTGTCAATATGGACGCCCAGGTCTTTAGCGACATGTACAGGTTCTGGTTCAATCTCCTTTCCATAGATTTCCAGTAACAGGAATTAATAGACGAAGAAAATTTCGCAAGAGTTGTGGAACACGGTTAAACAAGAGTTTGATCGTTTCTGGATTAACCAATAACAAATTATGCTAGCACCAATTGGATATTTCTGAAAGGTTTTGATTTACAAGTAAAGCTGAAGGTTAGCAGCGCTTGCATCGGTAACCTTATAAGAGGAGGGATAAGAAAACTTGTGCGTCCGCATAACCTGAAGATTTACCAGCTTGAGAACCGACAGTAGATTATTGATACACATTGTAAACAGTGCAGGGCCTAGTATAGAGCCTTAAGGCCCGAAATTCAAAGGCCACGGATCAGTAATGGCATCCTCTATTATGACGTTTGCCTGAACTGAGACAAGAAAGTCTCGAACTTAGTCTGAGTTTAACAAGTAGGCGCTCGTACTGGATGCTATCAAATGCTTTTGATATACTTAACGACACAATCCATGAAAGTTACCCTCATCCGTGTTCTGAAATGTCGTTTGTAAAGCGAAGTAAGGCCGTCTCGGTTGAGTAAAATGATCGATTCTGAGATTTCTCCTGAGTTCTTTCATGAGAAAGATCCATAAGAAAGTTATCACGATCTTAATTCAGTCTTGTAGATGAGATGTTAAAAAATTTTTGTCAGTAGAGGCCTCTAAAACATCCTTGATGTAGACAAATACACCGCCGCCGTATGGCCCACGATCTTGCCGAAACAATGTATATTCAGGAACTTGCAGTTCGCAATCGCTGATGGATGGGTCAAGATTCAGAGATCATTAATACATCGAGGCAATGATGGGAAAATTTCCTCTTGCTCTTATTGAGTGGATAGTGAAGTAAGCGACCGTAGCATTGGTCGCACGTTGCCGGACTTTCTTGGGTATCAATTTGTTGTTTTGCAGTCCAGGTCTAGATCGAGGACGGACGTATCTAATTCAAGTAGCGTGACTGCAAGAAGTTAAGCGTTAATAATGAGTTCTTCTCTTTGAAAGTCTCCGCCGTGGGTAGTAATCCTTCATAGATGAGTGAGATACGAAACTTTACACTCGGTGTTCCGAAGTACATTGAAATTGCTACCATACAGAACAACCCCAAGTTGAGTTGTCATTGTAAAATCAAGAGTAAGAAAGGGCAGCAAACAGATCATCGAGACGCGTCGCGATTGAGAATTGGCAAACTGTCTAAATTTTAGGTCAGATTCAGAGTCTCACACCTGTGGTTACTTAAAAGCTCTTTGATTAGGCGTGCCATACAGAGGAAAAGGTGGCAAAAATTAAATGGAACATCCAACTTATGAGAGGCTGTACATGATATGACGGAGGCAAGAGAATATCAACAGTTATTATTCTCTTGACAGAAGTAATTGCTGCCTGACCAGTTGCATTTGTTTATCGCCCCTCCCACTGAGACCAGCTGGTCTGATACGCTTGGAAGCTTCTACAGGTACTACATTCTCTGCTGACGCGTCTTCAAGTTCAGCATGTTCGGTATAATCACCGGAGGAACCCGAGGTCTGGGCTTTGATGCTGCTAAGGAACTGGCAAGCAATGGCTACAGCCATTTGATTCTTACGTACAACGCCAACACAGAACGCGCCGAACAGGCCAAGAAGACCCTGGAAGATAAACATGGAGTCCAAGTTTTTGTCGTGAAAGGAGACCTTGTTAAACCTGAAGCTGTTGATGCAATCTTTGATTGCGTGGAGAAGAATTTCGGAAACAAGCTTAATGCATTGGTACACAACGCCGGAGCTGCCATTGGTGTGTCATCAGTAGCGGAAACCGAAGCAGCCAAGAAAGCGGCCGCGAGTTACAAAGAAACTATCGCCTCTGGCAAATTTGACGATTTCGCCACTTACGACTATTTCCAAGAGATTTATCCAAAATGCTTCATACGAATGGTCGAAAGAGCGATAAAAATCATGGAAGATGGTAAAGGTTACATCTTGGCGGTATCTACCTATGGCTCCAACTGCATGCAGACAGTAAAACCAGGCTACGCCATAACAACTCAAGCCAAAGGAGGCTTAGAACTACTGGTAAGTTGATAGGGTGTACAACTACAAGATACACTGTCCTTGTTGTGAGGTTTTGAAGCTACACCTTTCTCACGGATGCTGAATAATTTAAGGGATTCGCTCAAAAATTTTCAATTTTTTGTCTGCTTGGTTCAATAAGATAATATGGGTCTGCATTCTTCAGTTGCCACAGATGACTTTGATAACTTATGCCATTCTAATTACTCATATTTGCATAAATTGGACCCTTGAAGTTTCTTCGGTTCGCCAAATTACAACAAACTATTTCCTCTTTTACCAAATACATTATGAACTGCTTAATCATAAAGTTGCAGGTAATAAATTCCATTTTTTCTGGAGAAAGCGTGTCCTTTTCCACTTAACCTCCGTTACAAATGAGGTCTAACAACTCCTTTTAACACTTAAACCCTCGGGCAATATTATTGGTCATACAATAGCAAGCCTTTCATCTACGTTTGCTTAAAAAACGCCGTTCAAATAACTCTTAGTTTAAAGAATAAATAGAGGCCAGTGTTCAATGTTTGTTACGAGGTGAGAGACAAAGAGTTTGATACTCCCGTGAGGATTCGAATCATAAGGCTTGCATGACAAATTATGATAGATAAGTGTGTCAATCTTACATTACCGTTTTTGTCCCAGCAGTAAACAAATGAGAAAATTAGGTTTCGATTATCAAACCGCAACGGAATCCCTCCTAGTGTCAGTTTAGAGAATAAAGTAGAATAGCAATATGATAGGAGCTGCCTCATGGTACATTTTTTGCGACGCGTGAAAGATGACCGTTTTACGAAATATTTATTTGGAAGGTTGGTTGACCTCGAAAAAGACTTTGAGAAACTCAACTGGAATGACAATGGCTAGCGATAGAGAATATTTAAACACATTATAAACGACGAGTTCAAAAAATATACTGAATTTAACTTTTCCAAGCTATACAAACAGTAAAATAGCTTAAAATATTCTAAAACTGTACTTGCGTTACATGATCTGGCCAATACAGGTGCGGTATTACGCCCAAGCCCTGGCCCCCCGCGGAATAACTGTGAATGCCATCATTCCTGGCTATATCTTATCTGACGCCTGGCATCACATGACTGCAAGCAAGGGTGGAATTGAAAGCGAGGCTGTTCAGGGCATGATTCAAGGATCTCCCATGAAGCGGTTCGGGGAAGGTCGCGAGTTCGGTCACGTGACTGCTTTTTTGTGTTCACCCAAAGCCTCGTTCATCACAGGGGTGTCATTACCAGTAGATGGAGGGCTCCATCTTCAGTAACAGGGCTTGGACTTTAAATAGACATCACCTGACTTGTTGTCCGTTTCAGGAGAATGGTATTAGATTAAAAATGATTTGGACATGAAGTAAATAAGAAACTCAACGAGTTTTGCGCTCAGGACCAATACAATTATCAGCTGAATAAAAAAAATAGCATTTCTTTCAAAAAAGTTAAAAAGCAAAGAAGCAAATTTATTTCGAAAAAAACAAGAAGGGTGATAAATTTGAGCTTAATTGTCACATAGCGGGAAATGTTAAGATTTGTCCATGACAAATGAGGGACAAAAACTAATCTGTGTTTTCCACGAGCATCCCCTGTAGAAAAAGATAGAGAAATACGATAATTGTTTTTTATTTCACCGTTATTTCTCGCTTGATCGGTATTTCGACAAATATTAATATATTTCACCATTATTTGTTTTTCGAAACTTTATCTCTGCTTTTCATTTGCCAATAAAGTTTCTTGTGCTTGTTGAATCTTGCTTGATTGCACTCACCTGGGTGAGAAATTTGTAATATAACTTTGATGAATGACAGAGGACAGACATATTGTTTTCCATCGTTTCTTGTGATTTGTTGGGTTAAACTACGTGTATTCCTTTCTCATTGTTTTCTTTTTCCTCAGGGATTAGTTGTGGCGTAAATTCCGTTTTAAATTAGAACGGCGTTTCTCGACTTTCGTCTTCACAAAGGCCAATAGGAATAAAGGAAATTTATTCCCCTCCGGAATAAATGATTTTATGCGGCTTGCCTTGCCGGCTTGTTCCAGTACTGAGGATCATATAACATACGGGACTTGTATGAGGGGCGTTTAAGTACAATTACAGGCCTGGTTGCAGGCCTTTTTTCTTTAGTTACCAGACTGCAAAGGTTATCCCTGCCTGTATCCTACCCACTAAATGTGGTATAGATTGGATTCCTCTTTAGGTTTGGGCTGCGTCATAGGTTTGCCCTCAAATTTGCTGGAAATGAATCAGGATTTCTAGAAAAGCGGAAAAAAATCGGTTTTCCCCAGAGCTTACAACTAAATAAATGCATCGGAACTACAGTAGAAAATACGACTCATCCACATTTTGAACGCCATCCAATGATTAAGTCTGGTTAAGTTTAAACTGTCCTTCTGATTATGAGGCAACAACTGCAGGAATTGAGGAAAACGCAGAAAATGCAAAGTTAAGAAAAGCATGAAGACCTGGCTTACAGTTTGAAAAACCTGGGGTAAAGAATTTCCTATATTTCTAGTGGCCTTCAAAACATAATGGAAAAATAATTTTTGGTTTATAGACTACCGCCGAAATTCCTCCAAACCTTGACTTTCAGCCCCTCGTGCACTATCGTAAGTGTTAATCTCCATTTTAAAATATTGAAGCATGAATCTAGACATTGATAACTGAGAGGTCTAAACTGGGTACAGACAGTTTCTATGTTAGCCCTTTCGCCGGTTAAGATTGAGCAATTTGCTCGGCATGGAAGTCCTAACATTTGGATAGAACAGTGGCTAGGCACCACGCTAACGCGTTTTAATTTAACTTAAGCATATTACCATTTAGGTATATGTGCACGTGTTATTAGCGATCAAGCAAGCAATTGCATGCAACAAGATAAACACTAGCTTCCAAGAGAATTTTGTTTTCCTCCTACCTACACCATAACCAGTTGTTTTGATTGTTTCTATATTTCATTAGTGCTTGCAATTTCTTCCGGATTACTGGACGGTCGTTTTAGTGTATCCGTCGAAAACCTTCGCAAGATGCATTGATCGAAAGTGTTTTATGAATGAAGGATATCTACATTTAAAACTGTCTGGCCCCAAAACAGGCTATCGATGATTGCCTGACGTCCAACTCCGTTTCACATTGCTGATGTGCCTCCTACCCTACACTTGAACAATTTGTTTAAATATTTTATCTGCGGGATTACCGCACTATCATCCATCTTTCCCAAACTTTCCGCATTTGAGAGAAGCACTTTTTCCGAACTATTAATGATAATTTATAGTGAGACAGTCAATTTACCATCGTCTTCATGGAAAATACAGAAGATCAGTTTGATCTTGAATTACAGTCGTAGGGTTTTGTCAATTTCTCAAGACAATGCTTCTTAATTACAAAATACTGACTGAAATGACTTACCAAACAATGAACGATATTTAGCTTGTTTTCCAGTATCGAGTTCTCAAAATGATTAGGCAGGAAACGTTGCAGAGTTAATGTATGCGACATTTTTTTTTTTACATTTAAATATGCTCTCAGCTGATAAGATAAAAATGAACATATTGTTTCTAATCAGTTGCCGGAGCGAGCTTAGTTGCAGTAACATTGACCAAATATCGGTTTTTTTGTTGTATTTGTGTGTACTAACCTTGATGGTAAAATTCCGTTTGGTGTCTTGATGTCTGTGGAATAAATCCAATGGGATTAGGTTGATAAGAGCCATGTTAGTCCCATCTGAGAGCATGCATTGTTAATCATGAGCATGATCACAGGCAGAATTGGACGACACGAAGTCCTGCTGCCAATTGATCAAAACTATGACAAAATTCGAGGAAGAAATAAGATATGGGTTATATGTTTTCATGGAACAAAAAACAAAAGCTAACTCGGCGACGTGCGCGACAACATCGTGCGCACATGACGTGTACTTTCCACGTACACAGGCATGATGTGTCAAACTGTTCTATTACATTGAATTACACTGTCGGATTACAAGTATGACGCCTATACTATTAGTGCTCAAATTGGGCTGGTGAGAACCAATCACGTTCAACAATTTTGTTATGGTTTTGATTGTACTAAAAATAATCAAAGTCGTTCCTGATTTACGTCACCTACTGCAGTCTTTGACTTTGATTTAAATGTTAGTTCAAACTAAACTTATTACGATCTGAGCTATTTTCCCATTATTAGTTATCCTTTAGCTAAAGGCGTCAGTTTCCTCTATTAATAATGAGCAATTCACAGTCCTAGCATCCCATATTTCAGGGCCATTCTAGATTTTCTTGAGAGACCCCCCTCGCTCTCCCCAGATTTCGCTCTTCTAGTTTGGGCAAAATAGTAATCGGTCGTGCTGCACACACTAGTAACTAAAGTGCTTAGAGTATTTCGAAATCATGACCAGCTTTCCAGTCATCCAAGTAAAAGAAGGGGAATGGAGGTCACGAAACTTCTTCGAAGTCTTGGGAGTGAAAATTCCATCTTATTTCACAACCGATCCACAATTACTTAGCGACTTCATCTCGGATTTCCATCCGAGAACGGACGATGTTTTGTAAACGAGATGTTGTATGTTGCCTGGTACTTGTTGAGGACAGGATTTTCATGCTTCATGATGCAAACATTTACTTGGTAATAAAAAAACCAATGGCTTTAACAACGGTTTACCTTCTGGACTATCACGCTATCAGTTTAGTCTCCTTCGCTGCAGTTGTTTGGTCTTGTCACGCAGCGCGTTCTCTCTCTCAAGAATATTGGTGAAATGATAAGGAGAGTAAATACTGATAGTGATGTAAGTATGGTATTCTGACAAAACCAAACAACGGTGGCAAAGGAGACTAAAATCAGTTAAGTGGATCATAGATGTGAGCAGCTGTTTCCTAAGGGGGGGAGGGGGTGGATGGGAGGGGAAGCCTATTGCATAAAATTTGAACAAACAACTGCATAGGAGACTACAACCCCCCTATAATCACTTTTATTTACCTTTATTATCATTTTATTCATATCTTTTGTTAATTTTTTTTAAAATTCCAATTAGAAAACTGCTATTAGGGACTTGTCATGTCTTGCAAAATTAAGATAAGAGTTTTTTTTTTCACAAAACATGTTTTGTTATCAACTAGTTTCAAAAAATTTTTTCCAGCTTCCTCAGCTTTGTTAACATTTTGCTGGTAATAATTAAAGTCTACTCTCCTTATTGATATACCTCTGCACTGTAATAAATTGTATCAATTATCCACTACAGTTGAAATAAACTTGCTTTTGTTTGTTTAGGGACAACTTGGGTGCAAGAGATTGTCTGGCAGATCTTTAATGGAGGAGAAGTGAACAGTGACTCAATTTCTAAAAGAATTGCATTCCTAGATACTCTAACTTCGCCACACTTTCCAATACAAGTTTCAGAGATCAACTCTTTGCCAAGTCCTCGCATTTTTAAGACACACTTACCTTACAAAATTATTCCCAAAGGTGCAAGCAATAACACCACTTGTAAATATATTTACATTGCCCGCAATCCTAAAGATGTTGCTGTGTCATACTTCAAATTCATTACAAGCTCAAATTTGATTGGAAATGGATATAGTGGACCCTGGGAATTTTGTGCCAAGCTGTTCATTGAAGGAAATGGTGAGATTGAAGAAACTGAAGTTTGCTGTAATTTAAAGAGCGTTGTTAATGTTCATGTTTTTCTTGGCTGTGCACTCCAATTCTTACCTCTGAACTATGGAGAACACACTTAACTAGGTTCATTGTGTTTGTTTAGGAGAATAGTGGAACACCTGAGTCTTTTTTTGCCACCTACTGAAATTTTCTGCTGCCTATTTGTGAAGTTCATATTTCAGATCACTTTTGTGTGTTGGTGTTCAATTAGCAGATTTGAAGAAATTTTTTACCCAAATTTTCTTTCATTTGGACTTTATCCAACTGAAAAGGAAGAATTTACTTGTAGACAATAAAGGAGTACAGGAGGGTTTGTTATACACACCCTGCCAAGAGTGACCAAACAGGAATTTTGCCTTGAAATATCAATACTTTTTCAAGCAGAATGATGTTAAGAAGGAAAAAAATATCAGCAATAGTATTTTTGTTTCTTTATAGCTTCTAAATTCTCAGAGCTAAAATTCTAAGTAATGTGTGGCAGAAATAGCAGAAAATTTAGACATAGATCTTTGGAGTCAAGAAATTATGGCATGGTATTTGGCAACTGTCCTTGGGATTTTTGACCCTCATTGTAAGTCACTCGCAAAGGAGAGGAACAACAACTTCTTTTTTTACTTTGAAATGGAAATACTTGTTCTGAATGAAATTTTTTTCTCTATGTTATAATCAGTTGGATTTAACCATTGGAATGACCATGTTCTGGGCTGGTGGGAGCAGAAAGATGATCCGAACATCTTGTTTCTCAAATATGAAGATATGCACAAGGTTTGTTGGCTCCTAAATCGTTACAGTGATTTAAATTCAGATAGGCTAGTTCACGTAGTTTGTTTCCTAATTTAAGGAACCGATTGAAAAAAAAACTATGATTTAAGACCCTATTACGGAAGCCGAAAAGGGAAAATCCAAAAATATTTTGCGAATCCCAAAAAATATTAAGAATCGATATCTTTTTGACAAATCGCTTTTGAAAAGTTTGTCAAATCGAGAAAACAGTTTCAAATCATGGTTTAATTCATACATCCACAAATAACTTTTACGAAAATAATTTACAATCTAAGAATCTTTCGAAAATCCAGAAAATTTTCGCAGATCGAGAAAAATATTTTGTCGCATGACACTTGCGCCAGTAGTCGGCACTTTGTCACGATACAGCACAGTGTGTCGCACTAGGTTGCACTAGGTCGACTTAGAGTAACTACGCGAACGGACCAAATTGTACCAAGTGTATTGCGATGTTCTGCTACAAATGGGGAAGAGAATTTGTGAGTAATTTGCTATTCTTATTTAAAACTTGTTTAAAACTTGTATTAAAAACTTGTTTAAACAAATGTGATCAAATCTGCCCTAGGATCTTCTTTCCCATGTTAGAATAATCGCCAACTTCCTTAACAAGTCGCTGTCAGAGGATGTCCTCTGTCGCATTGCTAAACAGTGCAGTTTCAGTGGAATGAAGAAAAATGCTTCAAGTTACGCGACCAGCGATGGTGGGACTTCGCTGCTACGAAAAGGCGTGGTAGGAGACTCGAAGAATTACTTTACTCCAGAGCTAACTGAGAGATTTGAGCGGGAAGTTTTGGCAAAATTACATGGAAGCGGATTGGAATTTGAGATATAATCTCTATGAACAATACCATGTTCTTTCCAAATAGTTTTGCGGAGAACGAATGTTTCAGAATGAAAACTGATGTTCAAGTGGCCTGTGAAGCAGACATTTGGCGAGAATATGAGTAACACGCGAAACGAGGGAGAACGCCTCGCTCGCGTGTGCTGGTCCTAAATCACTCGCGCCTACATAAATAGCGCGTCTGTCTCGAATATTCCCTAACCATTTAGTGGAATACTGAATAATTAAGAAAAAGAAATGACTTATTTCTAAGATACGTCTCTGGATAATCCATAGTCATTTAATAGACCCACGTTGCATAACTAAATTCTTATTAAAGTTAAAACAAATCTCAGAACATTATTAGTTATGAACAGCCAAGTTCGCACCATTTTTTGCTTTAAATCGCATTTTTTCCCCAGCCAATGAGGGGGCTACACTAAAAACAAAACAACCAATCAGATTTCAAGGATTGTTTAAAGTAACCAATCTAATTGCAGGAAAATGAAAGACAAAGAGTATCGTCGCAAATTTTGCAACTTTTGTTTCCAAAACTCTTATTCTTCATCCCCCCCTCCCAAAAAAAGGATGATTTTAATTTCTAACCGGCTCAGTACTGCATCAATAAAATGTTTTAACTTACCAAGTCCCGTACTTGGGTGATTTCAAAATGGATGTAATAAAGTGGTAATTGAACCTCATGTCGTGCAATTTTGGTTTGAATTCATACTTGTGATTTCAAATCGAACGAGCGGTTCAATTACCCTTATTAATCGCATGTGCTGTGGGGTAATTGCGGTCAAATTTCAGTCTCCACCTGTTTCCCTCGTGGACACAAAACGCGCGACATAATTCGATATGATTAATTTATTTTTTAAATCAGTCTCATATGAGTTCATCACAAGTGCAATACAGACTAATACATATCTTAGTACGATGATTTATCGTCTGAGAGACCCAAATTTTAAAACACTTCTACCTTGTTCCTAGCCTCATTCAGACTTGCGTTGTTTTCTGATATGTAACTGACTGTAATATTTTAATCCTTCAGTAATTATTGATAGCCTCCCTTTAAATTACAGGTAATGTTTTGTGGAAAATAAATAGATAAAATAGCATAAATGTTTTTGCGAATCAGCACACTAATCAAGCGTCTTCCTTAAATTCTACAACGTATAAAAATTTGCTTCGATGGATATTGAATGTTTGGGTGACTAATTAATAAAACTAGCGACCCCACCTGCACTTAGTTAAAGGAAGAATTCTGCCTTTTCTAAAACAACGCCTTACTCCATGTGGGGCGCCATCGTTTTTCATTAAAGAATTGCATGAATAATGAAATGCGATGTTATAACGGAAATTTTTCTGAAGTGTCGAACAAATGACACCTTCGCGTTTCGAAATTTCCCGTGGCTCAGTTTCGGCGTAATTCCTGAAAAGTATGGCGTCTTACCCGATCATTCAGGAACGTGAGGGGGAATGGACCTCCAATGAAATGATTGAAATCCTAGGCTTTAGAATTCCAGCGTTTTTTGTGTATGGCTCTCAAGGTCCTGAGTTGCTGTGCGACTTCATCACTAATTTTCAGACGAAATCTGATGATGTATTTATTGTCAGCTACCCCAAGTCAGGTGAGCTAATTTTTAATAGTGTATGACTCAGAGCTTGGAAAGATTTTCGAATAATTCCATACTATTCTTTGAAAAGCTGCATTCTCAAAGGTGTCTTATCGCTTTAGCCTTTGTTTTCATTTATCCAAGCATTGCATACGCAAATGTTGCCCAGAGCTTTTGTGAATAATCTTAAACCCGACGTTGCTGGCAACACAATTGTCTCGATGTATTTTTTAATTTAAGGGACCACTTGGGTTCAAGAAATTGTCTGGCAGATTTACCACGATGGCGAAATCAGTAATAAAGTTCTTGGAGATCGCGTCTTGTACATAGAGAAAGCTTTATTACCAGAATCAACTCATCTTGATATTAAAAGTATGCCAAGCCCTCGTCTATTTAAGAGCCACCTGTCTTATGATGC